GTGCCTTCTACTTTTTGGTTATTGTGAATAGTGCTCTTATGAATATGAAGCCTCTTTGAGATCCTACCTTCAGTTCTCTCAGGCATATAAGAAAGCTCTCTTTTACTGACACCAATCTGCCTCCCTGCAGTTTTCAGTCTCTGAGCTTAGTTATAATCTCAGGGACAACACGGAAGAAAAGTAATACTTTTTACCCAACCATTCTTCAGCGATCTTCTTCACGAAGTCATCCAGTAGGGACCCTAGTTCTTTCCAGCAGAAATGGAACCAGCTTTTGTCATCACCAGATGGAGCTTTCCGTTTCATCACCAGATTTTGTAAGGGATGTTCAGGTATGGTTTTGGTCCTCAGGAGGACAGCAGAGGGACTTCCCTGGTGGTTCAGTGGTTAGAACTCCACGCTTTCACTGATGAAGGCCTGGGTTCAATCCCTGGCTGGGCAACTAAGATCCCATAAGCTACTAGTGCAGCAAAAAAAAAAAGGGCAACTGAGTGAAAGACTGCTCAGATTGGAATCAAACATTCGCATAATCAGCCTGTTTCCACTTCTCTGAGCTGTTCTACTCAATACTAAGGAGGATATGTTGCTGGCCAACCAAGATGGCAATGACGTATGAGGTCTATTGCGTATGAGGACTGGACACCCTGAAGCTGCACTCAAACGGAAGGCCATACTCTTTCTTTCATAACTTTCCTGACAGTTCAGCTTTGTAAGACTTTTTTACCTGTGTTTCTTTCTGTGTTTGTGGTTTGCATGTGTGGTTCTTTCTCTTGTTAATCTGTCTGTAACGACTCAGATGCAAAGCGCATTACACACCCTCCCAGTTTGATCCACCCTGGATCTCCCAGAAGATGCAGCTGGTGGAAGCTTCGCAGGAGCTTGGATGAAGAACAAAGACACAGCAGCCCCTGGTGGCCACTCCAGGCCGAGTGCAGATGCAAGCTGCCGCCTCCAGCCAGCTGCCTGCCTGCCTGCCTCTCCTGGTCAGTAGGACAGACTTCTGTCCCACCCCAGGGAGGCTGTGGCACCTGGGCTGGGGCCATGGGAACTGAACTGAGCTCAGTGTGAGCGTGTGATGTGTCATCACTCCAGGTCTTGGGGAGGCTGAACCATACCACACCACAGCAGGATGAGTGGTGGAAGAGTGCTTCCTGCTGGAAGCATATGTGGAAGAAATGAATAAGATGATTTCTTAAAGCCTCCCCTGACTCTTATAACTAGGGGTTTTGGGGAAAAAAGTGAAGTATCTGTAGAAAATCCAGTGCATATTTTATTTAACAATATGTGGAAATTCCATGGACAGAGGAGCCTTGTGGGCTACAGTCCTCGGGGTTGCAAAGAGTAGGACACCATTGAGTGACTAAACCACCACCTTTATATCCTGCTTCTCTTGTTCGTAACTCTTAGGTTTTAACAGTTTTATACGCATATATGTACATATATCAATAATATATATAGTTAACATGGGACAAGCTGCAGACATTTAAATAATACAATTTGATAGGTTTTGACATGTGTATGGGACATGGCAACCCCCCTCCAGTATTCTTGCCTGGAAAATTCCATGGACAGAGGAGCTTTGTGGGCTATAGTCCATGGGGCTACGAAGAGTCAGATACCACTAAGGGACCGAGCACACACACGCTATGATCTTACTGACATAAAAGATACGTAGAAACGGGACAGAGAAAACTGGAGGGAACTACATCAAAATATTATCAGTAATATCTGCAGAGCCTATTCTGAAATCTTTATTTCCTTTATATATATATTATATATATATAGTTTTCTCACTTTTCTACAATGAGTAAACATTCTTTTACAATTGTAAAGTGAAGCTAATTATAGGGCTCACCTCTTTATTGAAACCCTTTCATAAGTAAGGTCATTTTAAGTTTTTTTTTCTTTTATTGGAGAGAACAGCCAAGAACAAAATTTTTCTCACGCACAAGTATATTACCTATTCTAACTTCAAAAACAAACACTTAAAAGTAAGCATAACCTTTGCCGGGTTGGACTCATGTTCAGTGACTGGGACACATTTTATGCAGTCAGGGAAATGGGTGAAGGCTCCTAGACCCAGGGAATGGAGACTTATTTTAGAGAAAAACTGAGCCCCAGAGGAGTTGGGGAACAAGTGATAATCCCTCCTGATGGCAAATTGGCTCAGTCAAAACTCTAATTGAACTTCCCTGGTGGTTCGGTGGCTAAGTACTGTGCTTTCATTGCAGGGGGCCCGGGTTCCATCCTTGGTTTGGGAACTAGATCTTATGTGCCGCAACTAAGAGTTCACATGCTGCAACTAAAGATCCTGAGTGCTGGAAAAAAATTCTAATATACAATTAGAATTGTATATTATATACAATTAGGGCTCTGCAGAGAGTGTGTTCAGAAAGATTCGGACTCGCTCTTTCCAACTACATGGCCTTGGCCAAGTTGACTGCCTCTCTGGGGCTTCTCCCCTCCCCTATGACATGAAGTTAGGGGAAAGTGACAGCAATTTGGCAAGGACCTATTCTGACAAGGATTAAGTAAAACACTGGATGTTAGGAGCGGGTTCTCTGAATAGCCCCAGTAGATAGTGGCTGTGTTACAATATATGAACAGCTTCTGAGCAACTATAAGTGAACCTCAGAGCCGTCTGTTTAGTAGAAATCAAAACTTGTACAGGACGGGGACCAGACCTCATTCTGGGTCTTTTTTCCCTTTGTTCTTCTGCCTCTGCCCCTGGATGACCAGCAATATGCTTACACGCACAGGCTCATGAAAAGGCTCAAAGAAAAGGATGCTGGTGACAGATGTATTAAGTAAATAATTGGAAGTCTCACAACTTTTAGTAAAAATGGTATGACCCCTAAGCACATAAACATCTGAATGAACAAGGAGGCTGCCAAAAATGACATTCAGGGCATATTATGAGGGCAAGGTGGAGTACCTTTATCAGACAAAATAAAGGTTCTGATGAGATTGCTTGAGAAATACTTGGGATTACTGAATGTTTAAAAAAAAAAAGTCATTTGGTAAAGAAAAATGGGCCAGGCATTAGAGTCGCTGTAAGTAGAGCATTGGAAGGGCTAGACACCTGGAAAACGAAAAAGGCATGGAATATTCCAGGTTGTCTGTTGATGGAGCCTAGCAAACTTGCTACAAACTCTGCTCCCTCCACTTAACGGCAGTGTGGTTTTGGGAACATGATGATTCTCTGGGACTGAAATGGCTTTGTTTATAAAACAGAGAAAGCATTATTTACCTATTTATTAATAACTCAGAGTCTTAGAAAATGTGCAGTTGCCAGAGACCCAATTAAAGGGCATAAACTATAAAGCAGAAAGGCTACGGCTCCACACCTGGCCATATATGCATGTGTGCATGCTAAGTCACTTCATTTGTGTCCAACTCTTTGCAACCCCATGGACTGCAGCCCACCATGCTCCTCTGTCCGAGGGACTCTCCAGGTGAGAATACTGCAGTGGGTTGCCATTTCCTTCTCCAGGGTATCTTTCTGACCCGGGGATCAAACCTGAGTCTCTTATGTCTCTTGCATTGGCAGGAGGGTTCTTGACCACTAACGCCACCTGGGAAGCCCCTACACTTGGCCATACAGGTAGTTAACTTTCTACCTGAGACCTCTAGAGCCAGGACATGAAGCACCTTCAACCTTTTTACTCAGTCTCCCCAGAACTGAAAAGAATGGATAGGACTCGGGAGCATCCATTCAGCTATAGTAATCTAGGACTCCAGGATTTATTCAAGAAATATCTATGGCACAGAAGATACATACTATCCACACACAAAAGAGCAACATGGCTAGGGACTTCACCTCCTAATGTCTCCTGACTCCATCTCCCCTTCAGCCCTCTAACTGCCCTGCTTCACTCAGGACCTGCTACTGTGGACCACTGGAGCAGTCCCGTTAGCCATCTTGCCCCTTGTCTTACTGGGCCCAGTTTGTTCATTCCCCATGGGTGTTGGCCTAACCTTCCTAAGACACAAAATACCACTCCTCTTAGCCCTTCAAAATACCTAAGGTTTTTATGATCAAGTCCAAACTCCTCAGCCCGGAACACTTCTAGCATGACATGTCTATAGCCTGGCATTCATCCTTCCCACCCTCTTCAACTCCACTGTTAGCACCCACACCCTGGGTACCACGTGACCCAACCACCATTGCCCTTGTACTCAGGATTCTCTTTGCCCAAATGCTCTTCACTGCTTGTTTGCCCAGCTAGTGCCATAGACCCTTCCAGATCCAGGTCAAGCCCTGTCCTGCTGGGATGCTGATGTGACTTCTCCAGGGGACTCTCTAGACGGACTGCCCACCGGTGTTCCACTCTGTTTGTGGATCTCTCTCGCCCATTACACTGTGAACTTCTTTAGGGCAAAGACTGTGTGCCATCTGTGTTCATCTCTAGCACCCAGAGTGATGCCCGGCACACAGCAGATGCTCAAAGAATACCTTCTTGGTGATTTAAAGGGTGAATAAGGCAGCCCCAGCACCCTAGGAGTTGTTATGATACTCAGCCAGTGAGGGTGGGACGGGGGTGGGGAAAACTCTCTTTCTGTTTTCATTTTCACTTCTGAAACTTCCAAAGTACTTGAAAATTGAACACAAAGACTGCTTCCATGCCACCTCAGAATTTCCCCCAAATTTCTCAACCGTTTATTCCTTTTGAGGGTTATATAACGGAACACTGATGTAATCCTAAAGGAATCTTGTTATATAATTCGGTCCTTCTTGCTGCAGCTCACTTTGGGAGGGTAGCAGGGCTTGGGCAGGAGGGGATCAGGGGAGGAAGACCCTGCACCATCCAGGTTGGCTCGGTCCTTTCCACCTCTCCCCACCTCCACCTCGTGGAGGAGCTTCCCACTTTCTCCTGCTTGGTGGCTGCCCCCAAGCTACTTCCCTCCCATCCCCAACAGTCGTTAAGCAGAGTCTGTGGGACTCCAGGGCAGGGGGCCATCTTGTACATCCTCCTCAAGCCCGAGAGCTGATACTATACCGGTCTCCTTCATTCAGTTCTGCGGGAGTGGTGACTATTGCCAAAAGAGAGTGCTCATTTGTATTGTCTTTTTTCCTAGAGCAGCAGGGATGTTATTACAAGTGTTCTGGAAGAAAGAAGAGGGAAGCCAAAAAGAAATTGCACAGCATCTTAAAATAGCCAGCAGGGTGCGAGTTGCTTGACAACTTGCAAAGTTGGCAAAGATCCTGATGCGCCTGTCGGGTTCGGGGTTTTGCTACCACTGTTTGGCTCCCGGTCCCACTTCCTAGGATCCTTCTCTGACAGTGCCCTGGAGGCTGGCTGAGGAGGGAAGTACTGAAGAGACAAGCAGCCCCCGGGGCAGCTCCTACCTAGGCTGGAAGGAGCCACAGTTTAAAAAACAACAAAAACAACAACAAAAAAAAGGTGACCTCTGGCCAGAAGAAAGCCCAGGAGATGCGTTTCTGCTAAGGGATGTCTGGGTCCCTGTCCCGCTCCCTGTCAACCCCCAAGGTGGAGACAGTTAAACCAGCACCCAGAGGAGGCAAAGAGACTCAGAGGGGATGTTTGGGAAGGAGAGGCCGTGCGATCAGCAAGAGACCCCGGTGGGATTCGGGGACGGCCAGACGGTGGGTGACACAGGGCAGCGGGGACAGGGCACCGCGCAAGCCCAGGGAGTCTGGCAGGGACCGGGGGCGGTGGGAGTAAGGGGGGCGAGCAGGGAGCGCAAGGCGGGACGGCGCCAGGGGCTGGGGGACAGGGCGCGGGGTACGGGCCGGCAGGGAGGCCCCCCCCCACCGGGTGGGAACGGACGCCGCGGCCCCCACACTCACCGGGCTCCCGGCGCCGGCTGCGGGTCTGGGCCGCGCTGGGCCCCGCGGTGCCAGCTCCGCGGGGCCCCAGCCCGCCGACTCGGCCAACAGCTGGTCCAGCAGACGCAGGGTCTCGTCCCCGCCGTCTGGGGGCGCCGCGGGGCCGGGATCGGTGACGGCCGCCGCCTCCGGGGCCTCGTCCCCGGCCGCCGCCACAGCCAGGCGGCGGGGCGGGAGGAGGCCCGGGGACGCGCCTCCCGGCCGGGGGCGGCAGGGAGGAGATCCCGGGCCCGGGACGCGATTGGGAGCGGGACGGCCGGGGGAGAGGGGAGGGGGCGCGCCGGGCCGCGAGTGGGGGATGAAGGTGATCCCGGGTCCGGGACGCGATTGGGGGCGGGGATGCGAGCCGGACCGGGGGCGGGGAGGTGCGGGGGGCGCGCCAGGCCGGGGCTCGGGGGATGGAGGTGATCCCGGGTCTGGGACGCGGTTAGGGGCGGGGATGCGAGCCGGGCCGGGGGCGGGGCGAAGCCGCCGGTCCGGGGAGAGCGGGGCCTGGTGTCGCGGCGGGGCAACCAGAGCCCGGGACCGGGGGGAACGTGCGAGTGGGCGCGACTGGGGCCGGAGTGCTGAGCCGGGCCGGGGGCGGGAGGAGGGGCCGGGCTGGGGGCGAGATCCCGCGGCGAAGAGGCGGCCGGGGGCGGCTGAGAGAGGGATGCTGGCCTGGGCCTGGTGGTGGGGGCCGAGACCCGGGGTGGTGTGCACTCTGGGGGAGCCGGCGGCCGGGGCTGGGAGCGAGGGCAGGGTCTGGGGGCACTGGCTGGGGGACGAGGGCACTGGTGCGCGGCGTCCTCTCCTCCTCCGACTCCTTCCTCCTCGCCCCTCCTTACCTTGGGTCCTGCGCTTCCTTGCGGGGGCCTGCCCTCCAGTCCCTGGCTCCTGGGGACTAGGGGCCCTCCTAGTCCCCGCAGCCAGTTAAGAACTGATCACCTTGGGGCTCCTACCGGCGCTCGGGCGAACTCGGCCGCCTTTTTCCTTTTTGGAAAGCACTGCACAGGCCAACCCGGCCTGCCTGTGGTGCTGATGTGCGCGGAGGTGACTCCACGGTCCGGCCCAGCTGCAGTGTGGAGCGCATGGGGACGTCACCTCTCCCAGCGTCCTGTTCCTCAAAGGTTGAGTTGAGGGGTGGGGGAGCGGACGGCAAAGATACTCAGGATGGGCTAAGATGACACAGGTGCAGGGCCTCGCACCCTTCCATTTCTGCCCTTCTCCCTCGCGCGCACGGACAGACCTAAGACACAACAGGAGGGAAGGGGGCGACTCTTTCGGACCGACTATCCCCTCAAGCCTTTCAGCAAGGGAGCGAGTAGCAGGCAGTGGTGCCCTGGGTTTCCTGTCCCTCGGCTCCTGCCCCAAAGGCGATCTGGTACCTGAATGCCGAACCTCATTAGAAACCGTCATCAGAAACATAACCACTTTTGAGAAAGAAAACATTTAAAAGGAGACACAGAAAGCATTCTCTCTCCCCTCAGGTAAAAAGCCAGTAGATACTGATCATAATTAATTCTAGCTTTTGGTCACTGGATAGTAAAAAAGAAAGAACAAAAAAGTTTATTGTTTTTAAGTGAACCAACCCCAAAATAAGAACAGCAAACAGGCCAGACGTGTCCAGTTCAAACCGAAACCTGATGGTGTAATTGTTGGTTGTGCTTGCATTTTATTTAAGACTTCTTTTTCTCCTTTTGTCACTTATTTTTTAAAAAATCTAAAAAAAAAAAAAAAAAAAAATCTAACCTCTCCAAAGCAAGACAGCTCCAACATGGTGAGTTTTAACTCCCATCTTGACATTAACCTGAATCCAGATGGGACTGCAGAATAACTGTTAAGGTGAATTTTGGCTAACCTCTCCTTGTCGCAGACTTGAACTTTTATTATTCTATCACTTCAGGAGTGTGCATTGCAAACTTTATGCCCAAGAAAATGGAATAAGCATGAGAGTCAAGTCCATATCCATGTTCTATTATCAAGAGACTAAGGAAGTACTTGTAACTCCTCTTCACTTTTTTTTTCTTTTTTTAAAATGTGCTGTCTTAACCATCCAGATGCAGGAGATGGGCTACCTTATCTGGTGTCATTTGGGTGTTCTGAGTCCACAGATGTATCTAGTGTGAAGCTATGGATATAAGCTTTCTCTTTAAGAAAACAAATCTCATCTTGAAGTTTTTTAAGCCTGGGAAAAAAAACATTCACAGGGAAAAGAAATTTTTCTTGTACTAAGTTCAACTAAGTTTAATCATTTAAAGGAAAACATGTTTTACTTCTGCCTAAGTAGCATCTAGTCATGTGACTCATAGTTTAAATATATCCAGAGCTCCCTGTGTTCACCTCCCAGGGCAATTGATTTTTCTGATGGCTCTTGATTTCAACCCTGTTTCCCCAGACTTCTCTGGCTCACTGGGCTTCAGTGAGCATAACTGCCAAAGCCTGTGTTCTTCCCACTCTGAGAGTGCATTTAAAATCAGCCACATTCCAGGACTGGCTTCCATTTATTCATGCTTAAAACCCAGATTGATTTTATTAGCACCTTCCCATAACAGGCAAACAGCCTGAATTTTCCCATATGACCAAGGCCGTCTAAGATCATATTTAGAAATAAACAAGAATCTCTCTGTCCCAAAGAGACAAAGGAATATTGGGACATTGAAAATGGGTCTGATCCCTCTTAGGGAAGCATCCTGGCAGCCACACTCCTCCAGCTAAAGAACTTCTTTTTTTATAATTATATAATTAAATCTTTATTTTTAATTGAAGGGTCATTGCTTTACAATATCATGTTGGTTTCTGCCAAATATCAACATGAATTAACCATAGGTATACCTATGTCCTCTCCTTCTGGAACCTCCCTCCCACCTCCCTCCCCATCCCACCCCTCTAGGTTGTTACAGAGGTCCCATTGGAGTTTCCTGAGTCACAGAGCAAATGCCTATTGGCTATCTGTTTTACATACAGTAAAGTGTATGTTTCCATGTTACTCTCTCCATACATCCCACCCTCTCTTTCCTCCCTCCACCCCCCACACCTACCCCCTGTCCAGAAGTCTGTTCTGTATGTCTGTGTCTCCATTGCTGCCCAGCATGCAGGTTCATCAGTCACTACTAAAGGACTTCTTTATGTAGTGACTGGAGTGGTGGCTGGTGAGGTGGTGGAAGATGAGGCCCTGCTTGGGAGCTGTCTGCTTAAACTTCTGGAAAATAAGAACATCCTGCAATGAACAAAGTAAACTTTGGGAGAGAACTGCAGTTCTTGATACTTTCTGCAGGAGATGTTTCCCGAGTGATGTTTCTCTTGGCAACAGGACTAGCCTGGCATCTGGAGATGAAGGAGGTCCCCTCCTTACTGCAGCCTGGGGACCACCCTCATTGCAGTAGGCTGCCAAAACCTGCTCCCTTTTCAAAGCCACACTCAAGTTCCCTTTCTCCGGGACCTTCCAGATCTCTTCTCCCTCCTGAGAACCAGTATAATTTCCCACCATTCCTGCCCATCCCAAGCTATTACATAGGAGAGAGATATTGTGTGGGTGCAGGTCATTATGAATATGCAGAAGGATAATGTTTGTATTCAGATGAGAAATGAGACAGCATTTGAAACACAGGCAAGTCAGATTTCAGTTTTTAATGCTTAATCAGTAACTTGAGAGAGCCACAGTGCTATCAATTATTACTGATACCTTTCAACGGGCAGCATCTCATATAATTGTTATTGTCTTCTTGCAAAGCTCCAAGGATTTGCATCCTGTTTCATGGCTTCCCCACAGAGAGGGGTAGGAGAAGTAAGGGAGGGTCAACACTGTTCATTAAGGACTGTTAATGAGTTATAGAACCCTTTTGCAAGATTTACTCAGAAATAACATATCTTGCTGGTGAGAGGTTGCTGTGCAACACCAGCTGGGGAGCCCAGTCTGGCATTTTGTGATGGCCTTGGAGGGGTGGGAGGGGGAGAGGGGACATGTGTATAATGATGGCTGATTTGCATTGTTGTATGGCAGAAACTGACACAACATTATAAAAAATTTTAAAACATATATTTAAATTAAAAAATAGAAAAAAAAACACATATCTTAAATCCTCAGAACTGGCATGTTAGCATCACGATTGCTTTGGCCCATTCTATAACTCTGGAAAAGATTCTGACCCCCTGCAGTAAAACATGGGTGACTTACATCCTTTTGAACAAAAGGTGGGAAACAGGATTCCTGATGCAGATTTTTCCGTTAGTTGACCAGGTCTCACTGCTTAAAGAGACATCTCTGGGCTTCTAGTTCAAAAGGACAGAGCAGGCAGAATTTGCTTCTCTTGTTCTTTGTGACTCTAAAATTAAGATATTGAAGTTTAAAAAAAGGAAGTTCAGAAAAAGAATAAAAAGGAGGAGGAGTCAGGGAAGGAATTGTAAAAGGGAGAGAAATCCACAAATGAGAGATTTCCACACACTTTTGGAAGATGGAAAGCTGACGGTAAAGAGTTGCCAGATGAAACAGGAAGAGAAGTGACAACCTAAGATATGCTGTCTGGGGCTGGAGGGGAAACGGGGGTCGGCCTTCTAACAGATGAGGCTTGGGACTCCTCCTGTGGATGGTGCATCACCCCCAAACCCCTTCATGCGTGAGGAAAGAGGACCAGGTGGCCGGCGTGGCTCACTCTGCTTCTGTGTGAGGAAGACTCTTTTCCTGCTGAGCTTTCACCTGGAGTGCAGAGCTGTGTGTGGGCGTGGGTGTTTGATGGTCACTCTAGAGTCGGGCTCCCCAGGTTCAGGTGCCCACACCTGCCCACTGAACTGTGGTGATGGCT